AGAGAGAGAGAGAGAGAGAGAGAGAGAGAGAGAGAGAGAGAGAGAGAGAACGTATGTGCCTCGCACACAATATAACGAGAGAAGCGATTACTCGAATAAGACACACGCGCCATATCAGAAAGTAAATAACACGACACATACATGCGCACATAGTTGACAACAGCGGATTGAGTGAAGTAATGGCAGTGATAATTGCGAATAATAAAGTTCGCTCTCGAAATTCTCGTGTTTGGAGAATGATAAACCAGCTAGAGGATTTTCGCGTCGTCAAATAAAATATTCTTGGCAACGGGACCTCGTTAGCGTTAGACGCGTGACTGTGGGAACGCGATCGTTCATCGATCGTCGCCAATCAATGCGCCGGATCCAATTCGCCGAGCCGAAGGTCGAGAAAATTCGTGGCGCGAAAAACTGTCGTACCATCTAGCTAAAAACGATCGGTGCGATAACAGTTGAGGTAATTAAATCGACTAGATAAGGGAGACGTGTGAAAGCGCGCTACTCGACGCGGCGAACGTCTATTTTAGGCTCGTAGTTGTCACTTAAAACTTGTTAGATCCAAAAGTTTTTTGGTGGAATTATTATATATGTAATATTTGTATCTGTAGTCGCGATTCAATTGAAAAAAACGCTCATCTAACTCTGATTTCCAATCTAAGTATCTCAGTTGAAACGAGTTTCAAATAATAACTATCAATACGAGCCTTAGGCTTGAAATATGAACGAAATTTCGATTGGAGTAACCAGAATTCAAGTCAACAAAATTTTTTTCATCAATTCGTACAGGATTCTAGTGGCTTGAATCAGAATTTTCCGATTTGTTGATATTTAATTAGAAATTTGGTTAATCCAACACTGAAAAAATTAGTTTTACATTTAGAACTAAAATATTTGATAGAAACGATTTCGTTGGCATTACGTGTTTTTATTTGTGTCAAGTAGATGTATTGTTGAGAAATGCAAAACGTACATAACGGCAATTAAATTTTTTTGTTACAATCATCAAACATTTGATCCCATTTCAATCAAATTATGATCTAAATTATATTTCATCAGAAATTAATTGATCCGACCAAACGTGTTTTCCGTGTAGAACAACTAACATTTACTTCGATATATTTTTCTGACTGAGAAAAGAAACTTCTAAATTTATTTATGGGATATAAAGCTTATTTCATCGAAATAAACCTTATTTTACAAATATGAGTTTCATATCTCGCCAATAAATGTTCAAGCATTTTTTTTCGCAGTGCATTGAGAATAAAATGTTTAATATTTGTAACTATAATCATTTAGAGAAGATTTATTATAAATTATGGTTAATATAACCATATTTTTTAGCCAATTGTACCATGTTTGTTAGTGAATCAATTCTTGGTTACGTTGACTTATGCAGCATCATTTATTAGCACCGAGATTCGTTCGTCCGAAAAAATGCATTTTCAAGGCAAGGTTAGCGTAACCAAAAATTTATTCCAGAAAGAAAATTGAAGCCAGAAAGTGGAGCCTATGCCAATGTTTTTCCGATTGGCATAACTATCCTGTTTTTCCATACATAGAGAAGTGTGACGCGCATCGAATCGTTTCGCGAGTGACAACGGTGCCGTTCACGATATTATTTCTGATTTGCGTTCCTTGAGCACACAATTATGCTCCTTGTCGCGATTCTCTCGGAACGACCGTGAAATATTTTTGGCGCGGAAAGATAGCCCCGGATAATGAAGCCGTGCATCGCCGTGTGCGTGCGCGCGCGCGCATCATGTAAGCCATCCGGCAAGTGCAATTATCGAGAGATTTTTCGAAACGCCGATAACGAGCGTGTCAAATCCACCCGCGCGTCGTAATTGGCGCACGTGCATACCGCGTGTCAGCCGGTCGGCGTGCAGGTTCTCCATTCTTGAATCGCGAGATCGTGCCACGAATCTCTAAGCGCTAAACTGCCGTGCGACAAATTCGCGCGAGATCGTGAAAAAACACCGAGGCGATTACCTCTGATTGTCGTTTCTTCTCTTTCGTTTTCGTAATTCCCGAGCTGGATAAATTCGAACGCGGGAGAAGGGGGGACGCGTATATCGATTATTCGTTTATTTCGTTCGATTATTTGTGCGCCGATTACTTATCGCACATACACGTTGATTTTGCGACACATTTTTTCATGTGTATACGTGTACTGTATATAAACGCCAATCGCGTGCGGACTCGTTGAGAACGACGTGTCGCGGAGGCGAGCCGAAATACACTGAAAAAGAGATTTTGTTGTCGCAACGAAAATTTGCTATGCCGCGAGCCGGAATTTCATGAAAATGGGATCAACAAAATGTTTGGTAGCTGCGACCAAAAATCTAATTATCGCTTGCGTGTGTTTTACCTTAATACACTCCTGCTTGACACTTGCAAGTAATAAACATGGTGATGCCAATCAAATCGTACCAACAGTTTGTCTCGAGTTCTTGAATTAATTCGAAAGTTGGAGTTAGAAAATTCGAATTAACGTAAATAATGCACAGGACTTAACGATTCGTTCCAAATACAAAAATAATGTTTTCAGTGGATAAATAATGTTTTCAACGGATTACACAATATTTCAAGCGAACGTGTCTCGTTCGATGAGAGTCGGTCGTTTCTCGGCCGAAATATCTGCGAGACAGATACGAGAATCGCGTATAAATTAATTAATCTCAGCTGCCGTAAAACTGCACGTCGTATTTACAAACAGTCACATTAGTGCGTACAGCCATCGCGATATTACTTGTAAAATAGAAAACATTGATCGTGATAAGGAATAAAACGATGCGCCGTGCTGTACGGATCGTAAGTCTTCATTCATTTTCAATTTACGCGAGAGAATTCGGTGCGGAGCAGAAGTCGGATCATCATCGGATGACCTCCGCGAAACAGAAAAGAATTAGTTGCACCTAAAGCTAAGATATTTGGTACATACAATTTGGTTAGTGTGTTACTATGTCTTTTATTTGTATCAATCCGAGTCGAAATTTTGGCCCTATGTAAAATGTTGAATTCTACACGGAAAAAAAGGTTTGATTGAATTAACCAAACATCTGGTCGAATATGAACGATTCAGAAATTCCGATTGAAGTAACCCGAATTCTCTTTAAGTTAATAAGATTTTTAGTTGACTAACCAGAGATGTTTGATTAGTCAACCAAAAATCTTGTTAACTTAAACAGAATTCAGGTTACTTCAATCGGAATTTCTGGATCGTTCATATTCGACCAGATGTTTGGTTAATTCAACTAAATCTTTTTTTCTGTGTATAACATAGTAGGAACTAACAAGGAAACCCATACAAGTGTCAGCCTTCGATTTTCATGAATTTGTAATATGTTGTACTTTAGATTAAAATAACAGATACGTTTCTTATTATGTACCCTATAAGAGATAAAAAAATATTTTGAATAAAAGTTGAATAGTTTGAAGAATACAGAAATTATAAAAAAAAAATTTTTTTTGTTAATATTTCCCCTATCACTTCTTCTTATTATAATTAAGATAATCTTTAAAGATTCTTATTAAGATAATTTCTGTAAAGTACTCTTCAAACCATTCAACTTTTATTCAAAATATTTTTTCTATCTCTTATAGTTTATATTCTCTTATATTTCTTATTATTTTTTTATTATATTCCTTTCGAATGAAAAAAATCGATTTTCTTCAAAAGGATATTTCACCTCCTAAACTTGCGAAAGGGCACATATAATAAATGTATTATTTTGATCTAAAGTACAGCATATAACAAGTTTATGAAAATCTGAGGCGGACACTTGTGGGTTTCCTTGTAAGTTAGCAAAGTAGGCCTAATTCTAATAATACAGTTTACTCCTATTTTGTCTATAATGTATGTGTGTGATGTCCGAAATTTCCATTTTAACTTTCTTTAGCGACAAAATAATATCGTTATATCTTTATTACAAATAGTAGTTATATCTTTAAACATGATTGCGACGACTTTCCATTGACTTTATTGAAGTTTATTGAATATACCTACGACAAAATCGACAAGATTTACTCGAGCTTATCGAATTACTTTACAAGAAGATCAACGATGATTCATAGAATCCTGCAGTCAACGGGATGTCACAAAAACACGCGCTTTCTTTCGTCTGCGAGCTCTCCGATCGATCGACGGTCGAGGTTTTCTTCTCGTGAAAAACTAAATGACGATAATCATATTAATGTTGTGTAAGTGTCGGGAAACACATTGAGAAATGAGAAAAATGGTATCATATAACGAGACAAAAGAAACAGTTATAATCTTCGAAGGAGTTCACGACGCTGTCACGCACACATTCGCGTGTGTTTTCGAGAAATCTAGTCGACCACAGCCGAGACCGGACGATACGGGGCGGAGGGGGAGGGGCTCGGTAAGGCGGTAATAGTGCATTACATAAACGAGCTGTCTTCATTATATTCAATGCCGTGTTCAAACATGCCTGTCAAGTGCATAATTAATTAATCATAACGGTTGTAAGACTTAGCGCGAAATCCGCGATTCTCGTTACGATTAACACCTCGGCTGCCGCGTTCATCGTTTCCACTGATTGTGCAACAACTCAACTGACGATTGAATCGCCAGAGGCGAGCAAACGTGCGATTCGAGACGCTCGTATCTTTCCCCGTCACTTTATCGACCATATCTCGGCCGCACACCATCCGATTTTCCAAACGCTCAACCAATATTACGTTTTACGCGGAACTTGGCGAGATGCAGCGGTGTCACCGTCGACTGTCGTGTGTCGCGCTCGATGTGTTAATTACGCGCTCGCAGCGAATGATTTGATTTCTCACTTACGGTTAATTAAAAATTGCAGCCGCGCAGGTAAGACACAGTCCGGATACTCTCGCGAGTTCCTCCGCGCGCTCCTTCGCCAACCTTCGCGAGCATTTAAAGACATTTTTTTCGCACTGCATCGACATCGACTGCTGCGCAGTTTGCGCCCGTCGTTAAAACATTCGCATTGAAAATAAAATTGTTTTGAAATTAACAGTCTCGAGCAACACCGTGTTGAAACTCGTTGCATATACATTACCGCGACGCCGACTTCAGACTTCGTATACTTATTTTCCTCGTCGTTTGTTTTTTTCCTACTACACCTTGATAGGAGACGTGCAATCCACATCAATTTACCGAGAGAAGGATGCATTATTTTGCTAAGGACGCGACTCATATAGACTTTTCCTCCGAAAACTTTGAATATTCCAGTTAATGAAACTTTTAATTAAATTAATGATTTGAAGTTTATTTCGAGTAGATTAGGAATATCGAAGTATAGGGTCTCGATATTATACTAAATACTAAATACTAAATACTTGAAAAAAAATATTTGAACATTTATTTAATAAGATATAAGGTTTATTTGGAAGAAACAAAGTTCATTTCTGTGAGATAAAGTTTACTTCTGAAGTAAACTTTATATCCCACAAGTAAGTTCTCAAATATTTTTTCTCCAGTATATTCTCGTAGTCGTTTGAGAGGTAAACGCTCTAAAAAGTTGAAATCTCTCAATAGTATGGCTATTTCTTGGGATCAACAAACCTTTTGGACTTTTTATCTCTCAAACGACTACGAGAATAATATTGAGATTTCATATTCTTGATATCCACCCGTCCTAAGCTTTAAATCGATGTATCATTTATTGGAATACTTAAGATTCCACAAAATCCTGCGAAAAAAGCGGCGAAATTACTACTCTTTACGGATACTTATAAATATTCTCGTCAGTTGACGAGCAGCGCGAATTGCATTCGAGGAAGTGTTTGACGAACACTTGACCGTTACGGTGGATTGTCGACCTACCTGCCGCTCTATTAATATGGACGATCCGATTAAGATTACGGACGTAATTAGAACTCTCTGCGTCAGTGGTCTCAAAGGCGCGGTTGGATGTCACTGTTAACTGATCGATATATGATATCAATCTGGCTCTAATTTTTTTTTGTAACGTGTGATTACGAGATGACCTAGTTTTTGCAAAATAGAGAAAACACCTACGTGAATAATTCAAGATTTTACATTTGGCTGATCTCTCTCTCTCTCTCTCTCACACACACACACACACACACACACACTCTCTCTCTCTCTCTCTGTTTCCCTCTCACACACACACACACTCTCTCTCACTCACTTTCTCAGACAACAGAAAACGAACTTCAACTTTTATTTGACGCCCGAAAATTTAACAAAATAGCTGTATTGGTTATATTAGAAATAATTGGTTTTAACTCGTTTGTTATTACGTGTTAATATAGTGGCTTATGGATATTGACAAATTTTTAAAACAAAATATCATTACTTTTTTCTATAACATTGGTGGATAGTTTGTCGTTGCTAAACAATAGAGTTCTGATGTGACCTGCTATTTAACTTATATCCGCTCTAATTTGTGAGTTATACATTCATTTCGTCCATCTTCATTTATATTCAATTCATGAAATGCAATTAAATTGTTCAACGTTGTAAAACAATTCGATCTATGCACTTCTGTCGGTGATTTTACCCTCTGAATTTTTCGAAGCGAAACTTCACACTTAAAAATTGTGAAACTTATTCGAAGCAAAGTGAATAAATCGTCGCCACTCGAAATCACAAAAGCGTATGGAGCACATCACTCTCTTAAAATGAATCAATCAAACATCACTGAAAACAGTGAATATACATTGACTTGCAGTTATAAGTGTAGCACTGAAAGTACTCAGTATATACAGTATATACTATACTTATAATTGATATTAGTGACTATTTACTGATTTACTTTAAGAAAGCAGATTCACTCTTCAGTTTCGAATAAAGGTATCTGCTCGACAATTCAGAGTGAAAAATTCGCACTACATAAACTCGAGTCATTCCGTTTTTTGAGCGAAATTTCATATAAAAAGTATCCCTCTGCCACACTAACTTTAAAGTAAAGCTGTGCGTCCAGCTGAGTCGTAACGAGAGATTGCTAAGAAACGGGACGAGAATCGCGGGCTGTTCATTCACACGTCCACTTTTCGTTTTATTCACTTTGTTTTCACGCGAATCTTTCTCCTTGCTGCAGTGCCGGCGGTCTGGTCACTGCAGTAGCTCCAGTCGTCATCAACGGAAATGGAGTCTGGGTCGGATGGCCAGGCATGCACATGGACAACCCAAACGAGCCGATCCCCGAATCCGATCCCAATGATCGCACACCCACGGCCGGTCTGCTGTCCCGAAAGGTAAGGAGAAGCTCGCGGATTATAACGCAAATCGCAACCGAAATGTTTCGCGCGACTTTACGTCGTCGTGCGCTCACCGGCGCTTTACGTAAGCTGTTTTGCGCAACGATTTCTACACACGTTAAAAAGAAAACAAGAAGAGGCAGAAATGGGTACTCGAAGGCTTACAAGACCCTGACAGGAGTAAAAATTAGGTAAAATTTGGAGAGTTGTAAATGCCATTGTGATCGGAAATATTCGATTAATCGGATACTTCCAATTAAACTTCGGATATAGAAATTCATCGGTATTTTTATCGGAAATATCCGTTTGTTAATTTTTTATCAGATTGTTTCTTTCATTTTAGTTAACTTTTACTTCTGCCAGAGATCCAAGGATCCTGTGCAAGCCGTTAAACTCCCACCCTGTAGAAATTCAGCGAAGCACCGTGTTCAGTGAAGTCGTCAAGGAAATAAATGTGCTCGTTATCGTGGCAAGCGTGTAACAAAGCATCACCGTTGCAACCGTATACGATGCTAGTTTCTCTCACATCTATAATAACTACAGCAATCCCTCGGTATTTACGTTTCACGATAAGTGAACGAACGCACACGTAGCCGCAGTACGCACATGTAGTCGGCTTTACTCTCTTGAGCTTGCTATCGATTTTGCAATTCGAGCTCCTTCGCGTTCGTCGAATTCCTCATTTTCTTCCAGTGAATCGGCCTCTTCCGGAGACGTTTGTTGTGTGTTTCAAACAGATAAATTCCTCCAGTTACGTCACTTGATATTTATCAACGTTCTTGACTTAAATGATGGAAATGTGTTCTGTGAGGTTCAGATATAACGTATCTATCGCGATTGAGAAGTCCCATATGGTTTTTTCCGCTCAATTTTCTACTCGTACGGTCTTCTCAGCCGGAACAAAAACTTTCCAAGTGACCGAAATGTCTTATCTCACTTCGCTCGGTTTGCGCGAGGTATGTAAACCTTGGCATTGACAGCGTGATCGTACCTCGTAATCACACACGTCACAAAAGTAGTCACGGTTCCCCTCCTCGGTCACCTTGTAATATTCCATGCCGGCGAACGACTCAAAATACCACCAGTCGCCTTTTATGTCGGTAACACCGTTCTCGATAAAGACCTTAATATCTTTCGTTCTACACTTTATCTACGCAACAATTTTATTATTCTTTTATCTACGTAACATTGCCATTCACAAGTACCTATCCAAAAGGTACACATCGATTGAGTGTATGAAGTTGACACCCCACTTTTTAAAATTTATAATTTTGAAAGTTGTTCCAGATTGTTCTGACTTTGCACCACATTGTTCCAAAGTGATATTGCTTCATTCGAAACGGTTTTCGAATAAAACAAAAAAAATGATTTTTTGAGCTGGCACCCCACTTTTCGAAAATCGAACATTCTGATACCGCAATAGATTGTTCTAGTTGTTCCAAACATTGTTCCAAAAGGACAAATCCGTAAGTTGAATTATAAGTCCAACAAATAAAAAAAATGTTTTTGACCTGGTACCCCATTTTTTGAAAATAAAGAATTCCGATACCGATATAGATTGTTCTAGTTGTTCCAAACATTGTTCCAAAAGCACAAATCAATAAGTTTAATTATAAGCCCGAAAAATTAAAAAAAAGTTTTTTGACAAACAGTCTATCGGACCAAGAGTAAACTTATACTATCTTTCTTGTTCCAACCGAGATCTTTTTGTTCTGAGTTGTTCTAGGCTTAAGAATTATAGTTCTAGAGTATGAGACTCATAAGATCATTCGTTCTCCGAAAATTCGTAAAAAAATCGATTTGACAGTACTCGACGTCAAGAGTAAACACATGCTTCCTTTCTTGTTCCAACCGAGATCTTTTTGTTCTGAGTTGTGCTAGGCTTAAGAATTATAGTTTTAGAGTATGAGACTCGTAGCGTCATCCGTTCTCCGAAAATTCGAAAAAAAATCGATTTGACAGCACCCGACGTCAAGAGAAAACACATGCTTCCTTTCTTGTTCCAACTGAGATCTTTTTGTTCTGAGTTATACTAGGCTTAAACGACGAAGCAATTTCACTTTATTTTGTCATGACATTTTGTAATTATTTCCGCCAATTTTCCTATAATAAAGATTAATTTTTGTAAGAAATCATCTTTTTCTTGAATTTTTGTCACCTCAGAAGTATATTTCAATCATCCAAATAATTATACTTTTTTAGATCAGTATATAGAACTTTTTTTTTTAAGAAAATAGTTTCATCTAAAAAACCTGAAAATATTTTTGTTAATTTTAATATGTTGTTAAGTTATGAATTTTTTTTACGAAACTACATTTGTTGTCGATTTCGGCAAATTTAAATTGTTATTGCAAAAGATTGTTAATAAATGACTAAAGTAACTATTGGAATATAAAATATAATCTCTCTAAAAGGCAATGTAAATATATGTATTTATGTAGAAACATAAAATATTTTTAACCTTCCGTTTGCATTATGTTTTTTACTAACGCCATTTGCACAGTGACCCCTTTAAGCCCTGTAACATTTTTTTGTTAAACTCCTCTAAAAAATCTGAAAAAATTCTAGGATACTCTAGAGAGATTATATTTTATGTTCCAATAGTTACTTTAGTCATTTATTAACAATTTTTTGCAATAACAATTTAAATTTGCCGAAATCGACAAAAAATGTAATTTCGTAAAAAAAATTCATAACTTAACAACATATTAAAATTAATAAAAATATTTTCAGGTTTTTTTAGATGAAACTATTTTCTTAAAAAAAAAAGTTTTATATACTGATTTAAAAAAGTATAATTATTTGGATGATTGAAAATAAGGATGATTGAAATATATTTCTGAGGTGACAAAAATTCAAGAAAAAGATAATTTCTTACAAAAATTAATCTTTATTATAGAAAAATTGGCGGAAATAATTACAAAATGTCATAACAAAATAAAGTGAAATTGCTTCAGAACAACTCAGAACAACTCAGAACAACTCAGAACAAAAAGATCTCGGTTGGAACAAGAAAGATAGTATAAGTTTACTCTTGGTCCGATAGACTGTTTGTCAAAAAACTTTTTTTTAATTTTTCGGGCTTATAATTAAACTTATTGATTTGTGCTTTTGGAACAATGTTTGGAACAACTAGAACAATCTATTGCGGTATCAGAATGTTCGATTTTCGAAAAGTGGGGTGCCAGCTCAAAAAATCATTTTTTTTGTTTTATTCGAAAACCGTTTCGAATGAAGCAATATCACTTTGGAACAATGTGGTACAAAGTCCGAACAATCTGGAACAACTTTCAAAATTATAAATTTCAAAAAGTGGGGTACCAACTTCATACACCGATTTCTTTCCAATTTGGCACAAATGTAAAAATACAAAAAATATTTAGGTCATATTTTTTTATTTTAACGCACTTTAAGTTTCACGAGCAGTTTATAGCTTTTTAATGTTCTCACTCCTATCAACAAGTACAACAAAAATGCATAAGAAATAAAATTGAATACAAAATATAGGCGTTTTTGGTTTGCTGATTATGAATATGAAGTCAAATGTGTAAAATTATTAGTCTAAATAATAAAATGTTTAAGCAAAACATGTAAAAAGTTGAAAAAAATTATTTATACAAATAATTTCTTAGTTTATCAGTCGATATTCGAACCATTTTTGACTAATTTAACGCAGATTTGAAATATTTCGGTTGGAATCTCGGCTAAAGAAATTTAGAATGGTTCGTGTCTCAGCTATGCCGATTTTGTTAAAATTATTTAACTATATCTTGTATTCAATTTCTTATGCATTTTTATTGTATTTGTTGATGATAAAAGTGAGAACATTAAAAAAGCTATAAACTGCCCGTGAAACTCAAAGTAGGCAAAAATGAAAAAATATGAACTGAATATTTTTTGTGCTTTTACATTTGTGCCGAATTAGAAAAAAATCGGAGTGTACCTTTTGAGTAGGTTCACTTGTCAATCCGTAGCAATGCATTCACTGTGAGAAATTATCCGATAAAAAATTAACAAACGGATATTTTCGATTAAAATACCAATAAATTTTTGTATCCAATCAGAAAACATCCGATGAGAAATATTGGTTCATGATTTTTTGATCGGTTTATCTGATAAAATGTCATTATGATCGGAAATATCCATTTAATCAGATATCCTGATTGGATATAAGAATTGATCGGAAATATCCGTTTATTAATTTTTTATCGGATAATTTCTTCCAGGGTTGTCTTGAAAGTCGAGAAATGAAACAATTTCTCAGGAAATATAATATCGAAATTTGGATAGCGAGACAACTTTCCAAAAACACAAGTACATCTTCGAAATAACGACAGAAACAACAGTAACTTTTAGGCATACATTATCTTATACTTTTACACAAGGAGAGAGTTTCCTTTCAAAACAAAAGGAATAAGTCTTATGTTTAGAATATTTTGCCTTGTATGGTGCGTATTTTAAAAGATTTTTCTAAAGACAAGAATACCAATTTTTCAGTGATACAAATGATACAAATGCTGAGACTCTCTTTGGTCTTTTTATCGTGCGAGACAAATAGCACGAGTTCGGCTTTTCTGGAACGTGATCTGAAACATCTGGAAAATGATACGATAACGTAACAGTATGTATTATATACATTTGCCTGGTCGTGCCGATCTTCGGATTTTTATAAATTCTTCACCTTTGAGCTTGAACTTGGATAAACATGTGTTTACGTATTTTGCATGCTACGTAGACGCTGTTGACGATGCGTTAATGCTCGTTAATTAAGCATTCAGCGTTCGCGATTTCAAAACTACAAGTTCCTGCATCGCGCACTTCGAAATTTAAAGAGTTTCGTGAAGGTTTTGTTTCAACCTCGACTCAGACGGTAAACGAAAATTATTAACAGATATAATATATATTCTATTATATATATATATATATATATATATATATATATATATATATATATATATATATATAATATATATATTATATTTGATGATAATTATATA